GGAATGTTCTCCCACTTTCTGTCAGTGGACTCCTACACTACCCCCAGTTTTAATGAATCGCTAAAAAGGTTCCTAGGTTAATAAACTAGTCAGATTTATAGGGATAGTTCATGATAGCAAAATATGTTGGTATTGAGAGCTTCTGCTAAGTACATCATACATACATGGAGATCTTATGTGGCTTACATTTGTTCTTTATTTTCCAGACCAATCAGAAATGAAACACAGATTGGTGTTTCACAACCTGCACCTAAATAACATTGCCAACAAAAACTCTTTTGCATGGAGATCCCATCCCAACTACAAACCATGGAGGCTATGATAGTTTGAATGTTAACTGTCCCCCATGGGCTTGTGTGAATGAACACGTGGTTCCTCTCTGGTGAAGCTATTTTGGGAGGTTGTGGAACCTGTGAGACAAAATGACAAGCTGATAAACAAAGGTCACTAGGTCCAGGCTTTGAGATCCTACATTTCCTCTGCTTCTGATTCTGTGTCTTCTTCCTGGTCAGTACCATGTGATGATGCCACAAGTCGTGAGCACTATCTGTATGATGGACTATACCCCTTAAGATGTAAGTCACAACCAACTTCTCTTCTACTAAGCTGCTTCTATCACATACTCTAACAGAGTGCTGGGAAAATTAGCATAAAACTATGCCAAGAATTAGAGTGTTTACTGTGAATTTCTGACCATGTGTCTTTTAGGCCTTTAGTTAGGGTTTGTGGTAGAAAAGTCAAAAAGCTTTGTGATATAGGTTGAGGAAACCCTAGGCTTTCACCAAGTGCCTTCCCCCACTGAGCGTTCTTGCCAGGACAGAAGTTACTATTTTAATAAGTCATTGAGAATTAGGCATATGTCCCATGACCAGCCAGGAGAACACTCCAGATATGCATTGCAAAGGCCCAGAGAAAGGAGAGGGTTAGACTCTGTTTGGAGACCTGTTTGACTGGAGAGTGAAGTAAGGCAGAGAGAAGAGATGAGACTGATGAGACTAGGGAATGGGTCAGAAACCTGATGGCCAACAGCAAGTGTCTGAGCTTACTATGCTCATGAACCTTTCATTAACTGCATTTTGAAGCCAATCCCTTCCTGAGCCTTTTAGGCATTCATTACTAACCTACCCATAGAACTTTATTCCATAAAGTTTAGGAAATATTTAGATATTTTTTGATCCTAGATGCCAGAGAGAGAAGAGAGTAGGAAATTTTATAACTGCTAGGGGGTTCAAGCTCCTAAGAGGAGTAGATATGGGGCTAGGTGGTCTTACTGGAAACATAGGTCCACAGAGCCACAGATGATGCCAGTTCTGATTAACACCCAGGAAATTAATTCCTTATCCATTTGTTACACTCATCGGGAGGCATGTGATAAGAAGAGGTGGTTATGTGCAGGTGATAAAGGTCGGTAGTTCATTCTCAACAAACTCATGAAATTGTAACCATGTGGTTGGGATTTTCTGAGACATGAGTCCCAGTTTGCTGGCCTGGACCTCACTATGCAGACCATGCTGGCCTCAGACTCTCAGAAATCTGCCTGCCTCTGGTTCCTGAGCAATGGTATTAAATGTGTGCTCTACCACACACAGTTTAATCAGGGCTTTAGCCTAAGTGTGAACTTGCTCCTCTTTTTGACACTTGAATGTACACTGTGCATTCTACACTGTGCATTCTAGTGATGTCACTCTACAATGCTCTTAACTCTTTTGAATTATTTGTGAAATTCAGAGAATGGGCAGGGTTGGCTACCAGCCTGATACCCTAGTCTCTTCAGTAATACATTCAAATTAGATGTGGTATTGAATAAAGATGGTGGATAGGCTTGAAAAGAAATACTTTTATTCAGCTAGGTGGTAGTGGCACATACCTTAAATCGGCACTTGAGAGGCAGAGCTAGTCAGATCTCTGTCAGTTTAAGGCCAGCCTGATCTGCAGAGTGAGTTCCAGGACAGCCATGGGTACACAGAGAAATCCTGTCTCAAAAAAAAGAAAATGTTAGAAATATTTGTATTCCCCACATAATAATGTTCATTATAAAATATTGAATGGAGAACATTTGACATGAATTTAACTACTAGAGTAATCATAATTCTTCTCCTTGTTAATAAAACCATAAATAAAATCACAGGCTATCATTTACTCTAATCAGAGCCCAACTGTAATGGATGGAGTCAAGTGTCAGAGATGAACCTCACATTTCAGTCATGTACTTAATGATTTCCTTTACACTAGACAGTTGATAATACTATGCACAGACATTGACCCTGTTCAGAGATGTACTAACTTCTTAACCATTAAGGTTACAGACAGTGGATTAAGCCCATCTTCATTTGGACTTCATTCAAAGGTAAATTTGAGTCTATGTGTTCTGGGACACAAAACCCTTGATGAAT